GGAGGGGCTTGCACCCTCTCCTAGATACGCCACTGCCGCGTAGCGCAGTCCTCGACGCAACCGTGGAAGGCTCCCCACAGCATCACCGAAAGCTGCGACTGTATAGAAACGTGACCAAGCTTATAAAGACTGCTCCCGACGATCATTCGCGTCGGACTGCGCCGTACAACCCTGAGTTGGCCTTTACAGGACAAAAGTGACGTTCTATAATACGGGCACACACTGAGCAAAGTCGTTGTCGCGCACAAAGGATCGTTTTTAAGGACAATTTCCCTCATTGCAATCTGCGCAACCAGCAAACGGCTTTGCGTCGCCAAGCGCTTACATAGAATGCCGATGGATTTGCCGCCCGGCGGCCGTCGCATGGCGCAGAGTGTGCCTGGTATTAACTTCACTCCAATATATATGATAATGTTGAAAAACTTGTAAGGCATATATATTATTTAAATATACTGATAGTATCACAAACCTAGTCCAAATGGAACAAAAGATTCTTTGTCGATGTCCAGCTGACCATTACTGTCCAAGAATCGGTCTGGGTTGAATTTTTCGGGTTCCTCCCAATGGTTTTTATCGTGGTGAAGTCCCCAGATATTACCGAATACAACAGTACCACTCTTGACGTCAAAGCCATCGAAATTGACATCTTTCTGCGTCATGTGTGGAACGACCTGCGCCGCCGGGCACGCTATGCGTAATGTCTCGTAAATGGTGGCGTTCGTATACGGTAATTTATCGACATCATCCGTCGTCGGTGCTCTATCAACAAACACAGAACTTACTTCCTCTTGTACCTGAAAACATTGAAAAAGGAATGTTACACACACACACACACACACAAAGTTAAGTTATGCAGCAAAACACCGTATACAGACTGCATGAATCACTTTATACTGTACATGTGCGGCATATAGACAATTAATGTGATGTCATTCCCATGCGCAATTTCAATCGATAGGCCAGTGGATACCATATCTGTCGCGTTTCACACATAAGCTTCTCCTTATTAGGGAATATTTTTTACTGATTATTTGGCCTGTCATAAGCTGTATATGGTTATATCGAAAGTAAATGATAAACAAGTAAATAATTATGTGTATGTTCGCAAACGCGTACGTTCGCAAACAGATTGAATACGGTATTACATTCATGTACCGGTATGTTCTTTGGTAGGCTGGCTTATCTTTTATGCTTGAAAAAAAACATATAGAATACGGAACTTTTTAATAATAAATTTGAATTTAAAGTAATGATTATTATCATCTATCTATTGATGTGACTTTTTATGCAGTTTAAGAAAGCGCAAGCGAAGTTAAGACCTGTTTATACTTCAACGACAACGATAAAATAGTTAAAAAGCAATTGTTCATATAAAAAATAAGAGAAGTTTCTACACTAGAACAATTTTTACAAATCAAATCAGATGACGTCATAATCGTGGAAAAACATTAAAATCGTAGTAATAGCAACGATTTTACCGTTTTTCCATGATTATGATGTCATCTAATTTAATTAAAATATTTTGTTATCGTATAAACAGGCCTTTATTTGTATTGTTAGGGAACGACGTCACTCATAACAACGCGACTTCGCTCGCACTTTTGAAAACTACATAAACAGTCGCGTCTAGTGGTAAGATGGTTTGAAAAAAATTCGTTAAATTTAAATTTATTATTAAAAAGTATTGCAAGAATCGTTATTTTTAACTATAATTTAAACAAATGCCAAAAAAAGAAACTTTTCTAAACTAGTACGTCACTTAGGCCCTCCAACATGGCGTCGGAGGCCTCACTTTCTGTACCAGGATTGGCCGATGAGCAATCCAGCTATAATAGTAGAGATCAGTGACTGTAAAACATTCTGTAACCAGGAAAAGGGTTTCGAAACATTCGCTAGCTCACAGCACACGCACGCAATTGAATGTTGATTGGTCATTTTTCACCCGAGGTCATGGCGAGATCCCCCGTAGCGATTAAAGCTCGGCTTAGAAAAGTTAAACACGGTGTCACGCCAGGTATAGTTACTATAGTAACACAGTCCTACTTGAAACTTTAGACTAGCAGGTGGATAAACCCGGTGAGTTGAGCCGGGTTTATGCACCTAGTCTGAACGCAGCCTTAGCGGTTTGCCATAAAAAAACGATCTCTTACGTGCGCCTCGTCGCGTACAGTTCTCCATGGTATCGCGTCAACCGACGACCGTTTCGGCGCTGTGTCCCTGTGTCTTAACGTAATGTAAAAATGCAGGGCTTACCTTGGTTTGAATTTCAGGGTGTTTGGTAATAAGTAAAATAATCCACTGGATCGCGTTTTTAAGCGTGATCGTCGAGCCCATCAAGTTCATTATGTGCCATGGACAATCATTTTCTGGGAACTCAATCCCGTCCGCTTTCCCTAAATAGCCATCTATAAGATCCCGTATGTTGCTGCTGTCGAGGTTCTCCTTATGCGCGTCTAACTCCTTACTCACCAAGCAACGCAAGTTTTTACGCTTTTTCCTAAAATCTTTGTAAAATGGCGCCCACAACACTGGAAACAAATTTGCTTTCTCGCCCATCAGATTTTTCAGTTTATGGTTCATTTTAGTGACACGGTTCTTTAATTCCTTAAATTTGGGATCGTCGTAGGGACATCTCTGTTCTCGTCGGAAACAAAACGTCGAGATCATACTGAGGTTTGCTTCTTCAATCAATCGATAAACTAGGTCAGACGATGTGTCTCCCTTTTCGCTTAAGACGTCACAAACTGCAATCGCTTCATTTTGCGCCAATTTATCGAGGTCTACTTGTTTCATTACCGTCGATAAAAGCTGCCTTCGTTGATCATACACCGCGTCATTTTCCCAGGTCATCGTACCTTTAGGAACAAATATCGGAAATAACTACAAAATTGTGTTGGTCTGTATAATAATGTAAGCTTTTGTCACAATAAAAGGGCTGTGACTGTCGGCCGATCGAACAGTTGGCGTCGTAGTCGGTCAGTTGAAGTATCAGTCACGTATGGAAAAATATATTATTTCAATACCGTAGGCCTACATAACGACAGCTTAAATAATGAATAAATTAATTAATTGTTGTAACAACACAATTTTCTCTACTTATACATTTTACAAATGATTAATACTAGGCCTACCTTATCATCATCATCATCATCATCATCATTATCATCATCATCATCATCATCATCATCATTGTTTATATCCGCGAGTAATATAATATATTTCGATTCAATGGCTCACGCCTCCAATGCTGCATTACCAAACTGTCGCATAGTTTACAGTACACAATGCAGTTGTCATTTTTAAAAGAATTAGAGTTCTGATCAGTAAGCGGAATACCGTAAAGATAATCGGGAGTTCATTTTACCAAAAGTCAACACTTAGCCATTTATATAGGCCTAATGTATTACAATGAGTACTCATCATTGCTGTTGTTATCCTGGTATGGATTAACGTTAAGGGGAAGTTTGGAAATCCTACGGAAACAATAATTTGGTTACGTCATCATTTCTAGAATTGTTGACCGTTCCGCGGAACTCCAACAACTGGATATTGTTGCTAAGGGTCCACAAACGACAGCGTCGTAAATTAGGTCAACTTGCGTCATGTTTGTGGGACATGCACTTTAGGCCTACTAACTATTGAATAACACGTTTTAATTGGTCAGTTAAGTGTGACTGACAGTTAAGTTCAGGCATTTCGTTGTCAAGTGCTGTGATTGTCAGCGCCTACATTGACCCCTAACCCACCCCTTCCTTATTATACATTCATGACTAAAACATAATAGCACTTTTCCAGCAGATGAACGAATAACGTTCGAAATATAGAGAATCACGGTGGCTTTGTATCGTCGCTTTTTTCTGAGTTTGTTTCATAGGCCTACCCTCTCCGGATATACACAATTTAACGTCCGAGTTGACCTGCCATATTCGTTTACATTGTAATATCCTGTCAGCGGTACTGTACAAATAAATAACGTTAAATTAGCCAAGACGATTACGTTTGGTTGTGAGACACATCCATTAAACTTTACTTTTGATAATAAATAAATGGATGAAAGTTCGAACGGACGTGATGTCCAGATCTGTAAGTTACGATGAATGGAAAGAGAAGTGGTAGGTTGCTTAATAGTCATGTAGTTTTTAACCTTTGAACCTTAAGGTTAGAATTCAAGTCGTTGGACAGACCAATTGATCTAATGCAAGATTAATTGATTGATTGCATTGATTGGTTGATCGAAATATTCTTTTATCTATCAACCGATTGATATATTGATTGTCAATTTCAATGAGTTCACGGGCATTGACATTGAGGTCAATGAAAATCAAACTTTGATTTGCCATGCGTAGGCCTGTTCCTCATCCATATCTAGGCGGTATAAATCCGTGAATTTGATATTTTGCACAATGGTATGTTTTTTTTTTTGTAGATCCCGGAAGTGTCAGTTAACCGATATCGGTTAGTGTTCCGGTTCATTGAGGCAATGGTGGTTTGAAGTGTTGGATTAACGAGTTCAAATGAGTACTGATCATCCTTTACTTCTCAAATGACGTTATATTTCCATTTTTATCTCTTTTGATATCATTACATTTTAAAATGTCTTAGCATTAACCTTTTGAAATCGGTGTACTTTTAGAAGGACATAGGTGATCTGTAAGAAGAGGGGTATGTCGATAGACTCGGCACTCAGTTTTGTTTATATCCGCGAGTAATAAAATATTTCGATTCCATGGCTCACGCCTCCAATGTTGCATTACCAAACGGTCGCATAGTTTACAGTACCGTACACAATGCAGTTGTTATTTTTAAAAGAATTAGTGTTCTGATCAATAAACGGAATACCGTAAAGATAATCGGGAGTTCATTTTACCAAGAGTAAACATTTAGCCATTTATATAGGCCTAATGTATTACAATGAGTACTTTCAATAAAGATTGAGCATTGAGTGTTAAGCGACCCATAGACCAAATCCGACCTGTTGTAAATTTCAACTCGGCTCGCGTCGTAACAATATAGCGATGTCAGGTATTATATGCCTAGCCCACTTTACTAAATTGGCATTGGAGAGACGATGCAGTAATTGTAGTAAGATATCGGTACTGTCACGATCACGATAACCCATTCCGTTATAATTCACTTTATTACAATCGTATTTACATAATGGATAATACAAAATATTTAAAGAGACATGGAATAAAAAAACACAAAATGGACAATTTAAAATCAAAAAGTCACAAAATTAATCGATTCCTATTTAACTTTATATAATATAAATAAATAAATACAATCGTTGCTACTACTACAATTTTAATGTTTTCCATAATTATGACGTCATTTGATTTGATTTGTCAAAATATGTTATTATCGCATAACTGATAAATCATTATCGAATCGTTCTGGTGTAAAAACTTCTCTTATTTCTTTTATTTTCTACATGAACAATTGCTTTTTAGCTTTTTATTTATTTTTTTATCGTTATCGTTATCGTTGAAGTATAAACAGGCCTTTATGCTGCTGGAATTAGGCTATTTTACTTTGTTGATTTATGAAATTTGAACATAGCCATTATGAGGCATATGGAGTTGTTGTGGTCGTGAGAACTAATCCAATCATTTGTGACAAGAATTAAACCCATGCACCTGGGATTGCTATTCAACACCACTTTAATTTTATTCTTCTTTTTTGTAGTCCGATTGCTCGTGTTCTTGAATACGCGCATTCTTTCCGTTAGTTATATTTTACCAAGAGGACGAGGAGCCCCTACTGGATGGGAGGTCTCCGCTAGGGTTAATCGTTTGGAAAGAAGCCCGTGTTTGCCCCCATAGGCCTATGCCTACTGTACATAACGTACGCTACGACATGACGAAATAGTCCGGTAGGCAACACAACATGTAGAATGTGATTGCAATGTTGTGAATTGCTTCTATACACATGAGGAAAGAGGCTACAACCGGCGCCAGCGGGGGATACCGGGGTCACAAGACCCTTCACCCCACCCGCAGGTTGCAGGGACGGATCGAGAGTTGTCCTAAAGGGGAGGGGCGAAAGTGGGGCCGATCGAACAACACTGTCCTAGGGGGTCCAGGAGCATGCTAAACTTCTAATTTCTAAGATGCACAAAATAACATCTGAAGGGGTTTAGGCGATCAATTATTTCTTTATCTTTCTTTCTTTTTTCCTTTTTTTTTTACTTCTCAAAAAGTGGGGGGGGGGGGGGTGTGGCCCGCCGGGCCCCCTCTAAATCCGCCCCTGGGTTCGGGAAGAAACCATTTATGGCAGCCGGGCGTTACGTGTAGAACTTGTTTTCTATACTTTCTATAAACATGTTGGGGCTGAATTGAAGTGAGTGGGCCGGCTCTGTCCTATTTTAAACAAAATCTAGGGGTGGGGGGTGCTTTACTCTTGAATCCGCCACTGATCTGGTTAATGAGCTTTCGTAACATTTAATTTTATTTTGCTACACATTGTGGTATCCATTTGCACTGATTCCGTGGGATAATTGATAAAAAAAAAACCCAGTAAAACATGCAAATATTATGAATTTGCGGGATATGGGTTATTTCCGGGAGACTCTTGTTTGTTTGCACGAGTGCGGGAGGCCGCTCCGATTTCCGGGAGCCTTCCGCGAGTTCCGGGAGAATTGGAACCCCTGCATCAGTGAATCAGATGCCATCTCTAGCTACAACAAAAAACCGCCTGCTGCCATCTCTTCAACTAGGCCTATATTGTAACCTTTCTTCATAATGGTTGTAGGCTTACGTATTTTTATGAGGCTATAAGATTTTACAATGCATTTCTTGTATTCTTATACCAGCTGAAAGCTGTCGGACAGTGTGTATACAATAGACTAGGCTAAATGGAGTTGTAATATTGATGTAACGGAGCTGTCGTTTTCTTTGGCTAATAAGGAATTGGGGTGGGGTATGGGAGGGTTTCATTATGTAACGTTATAATAAAGTAGGCCTGTAACCACCAATCCGGACATAAAATAAGATGCACATCCTGTAGACCACCGGATCTGAAGAGTTTCAATGGCTGATTCACATAAAAGAGACTGTCTTTCTTTATCCGTGATGAGTGTCACTGGTCTATGCCTATTTGGTTAGTAGGTAAAGTATCAATAATTAATAGGCTACGTGTCGACATAACCTTGGCATAACTTAAGCACTATAACATTAACGTTTGGTATATTAAAGTTGCTTTGATTTTATAGTCCATCAAACCCGCACACCCTGTAAAGTCCTTCCTCTAAATTGTTATTTTGTCAATGACGTCTTTTGTGTATCTTACAATACAACGTCAATAATACTAACTATTGAAGCGTTACTTAATGCTTAATGCTCGAATAGACAGCGAATCGCATTGATCTACATGCGTAATTTCCCGTGTTGCCGTCTCTCTGTTAATTAAATAATAATAATAATAATAATAATAATAATAATAAAATATTCTTGATATTTACCTACTGCACCGTCCTTTTTGACAATAGGCAAGACGAAACGTCCAGAAAATATCTCTGGACTTTCTTCGAATGCCCTCCTCAAGACGTCAATGTTTCCGAGCAAAATACTGTCACCCATGGGTCCAAGATTTACACGGCATACAGGTCCGTACCTCTGGCACCATTCAGTCCACGTGATGTGCGCCTTTGGGCAAATCTGCTTCAGATTTCCAATAATACGACTCGGGCGTGGTCCTGGAATACTACTGCCCTTTTCTGCCATGGCTGGGTTTTTATTAAATTGTGAATAAGTTAGCGCTCGTCCGCCTACCTCACATTTGATCACCGATGAAATTATGACTGTAATAACTTGAACTCCGTAACATGTCCATCCATATAGCGTCAGCCTCTATTATGGTTCCGGGTAAGTGCGATTTGATTGGTTGGTTGGTTAGATAGATATCTGTGGTTTGCTCAGACTTTGGAGGGCACAAGCCGACTTTATAACTGATGCGGAACAGAAAAACAATAGTTCCAGGATATAAATTTCAAATCGGTTACTATACTGGAAACCACTTCTAGGATACACGGACTTCAGATATGAACATGATGAGTCACGTTTTAAATAGTCCTATATCATGCCAATATTTCTTTTTAAAAATATCTATATTTATTATTATCAATCTCTATTTATAATTATTATACTGCCAAATGTCGTCTATATTCACCCTGAAATTATTCTGCTTCGAAACCCATCCATTGGAAATAAATGAACGTTTGTTGATTTGGTGGGTCGCCATGCGTCTATTCTCCGTTTAGCCAGGTAATTTTTCTCTATATTCTGTATGTCATTGTTTTTCTATGTTGATCGCATTTGAATGGATGCTAAATAGGTAGTAAAGTAAAAAGGTGTATTGGCCGGGATTAAAATGTTGGTTTAAGATATACTAGGGATTGT